TCGCACTGCTCAGTCTCTTCCTAGCTGGTGTCGACGCTCAATAAGTGAGGTTTTAGAGAATGCATATTTTTAGGTCATCAGCATTTGACCACGTCCACAGGGATACTGCAGAACCAATAGGAAGACACATTTTTTCAGGCATCGTGAGGAATATCACAGCAGAAGTGTTTAAGGAGGCGAATAAAAAATGGAACCCAAACATGGTTAGTTTTGTACTGGGTTCGTTTTAAGTAGAACCGTCCTTCTCAGAACGACTTCACAAAATTGTACAATGCGTTAACTTTGTTCACAGTTATGGGATGAGAAATACGCCGATTGGGCATTGGTAGATGCAGTTAAACGGGGAGGCGGGTTTGTACCTGTGAAGGAGGCAGGCTGGCTGGAGATAAGAAAGCAGAGGTTCTCATAAACATTGTTGTTGAAATTTTAACTGCGCTCGTTGTAGGTTTATTTGTATGTTCAGTGTATTTCGTGCGAACGATACCAGATCCCTTGAAGAAAAGGTGAATTCTACGTTGGAGGCGTGTTTCAAGGAAGAAGGCGAAAAAGTGAGTTGAAGTTGCTACGACCGCCATAACAGCATACATAAATAGAGCAAAGCGCGTTCATGGCTGATGCCAAGCAGGTGACTAGGACATCGTACTATTTGCGAAAAGAAGGAGAACGTCTCCAATTATGCAGCATTCTACAGGTCGCCCCATTAGTGTTGCACCACGTTTCTCGTAACATCTCTCGAGATAAATATCTCTTTGAGACTTTGGTCAGACATTTCCATATCTGGAGGAATGACATTCATTCGATGTTCTCCCCTGTAGGGTGTAGTATGCTCCTAGCTTGCTTTCAACTTAAGTCTGCATTGCCCTGCAGACCATAATAGGCTGTATTTTCTGAAATTTGCAAGAAAAAAGCCTTTGGCGCCTCGACGTAGAACGCTTGGGTAAAGCAGCTCGGTACAGCCCACATAGTAATGAATCCAGTACGTTGAATCAAGGAAATAGAGCAATTTGTTGAGGATGCGAAACCAGGGTAGCCGAGCCAGTCCTGAACAATTTATATGACTGTCATCAGCCATAGGGTTAGATAAGGAGACAGCGTAATGCTCGAAGCTTTCAGAAAAACAACCCAACTCAAATTATATCTCGATATTCGAATCAGATAGCCGTGTTCTGGGTTTGACTGGCAGGCCGCCGCATTGTGGAAGTAGACGGATAAGCATGCTCTGCGATATCAAATTTAGTACTTAGGAAACAGACCTATCTCACGGTCTTTAACTCAAGTGCGGGAAAGGAAACGTCAAATCAAGCCACGCCCTATCTGACTCGAGTTCGACTGTAAGTGTGAGGACAGCGAGTTCTTTTTCCAGAAAAAAGTGAAAACCATGATCAAACGTGCCAACCCGAATAATAATATCCCTTCTTGCCCGTTGATTTCCGCACTCATGCGACTTACATCGTTAACCCTTTTCACCCTAATGCTCTCTCTGCTCTTTAATCACTCGACGCGTAGGACGTGCGCGAGTTATTCATACCGGACATTTGCGTCTCAAGAGGCGGTTCATGCTTGATTGCCGAGGTCCACCTTTCGCTCAATTGCGTGTCAGTCTGCACCTCATGAGGTCGCTGTTCTCCACTATGCGAGTGCCCTTCTTCGACCTTCTTCTTTATCGGTGGAATCCTCCATGAAGTGCTAGTCTTATCGTGAAATCTTCTTGGAGCCGCTACATAATTTCTTGGCTAGACTTAGTGCTGGATAGTCTTAAAGAAATTAACCCCGATCATGCCGATCTCCTACCACCAACGTCTCAGAAAAGTCGTAGGTCTACGATCCGTCGAGAACACCTCTTGAGCTCGCCATTCTCCCGTTTTGGATTCTCCTGATGCCGTCCACGTAGAAGGCTATTATGAAGTGCCGCTTATGAAATGAAATGTGGTCTACATACTCATTTTATAAGTACTTGGTCTCAGTCCAGCAACGTGAGATTACTGTCGTTCAAAGGAGGAGTCTACGATAAGAACGAAGGTCAAAGGGTGAGTAATTGACATGGCTGAGAGACAGGGAGATCTCTAAGGTTTAACCCTTTGACTACTGGTGGGACACATGTGTCCCACTTTGTAGTCAAAGACACTGCCACAGTTCCAGGGAATATTGAGGCAGGAGGGCTCATTCGTTGGCTGAACTGTGCACCTACTAAAAGCTTTCTAATTCCTACTATGACAATTAGTCGTCAGAACTAAAGCGAGTCATCCTGCGTAAGTTAATCTTTGACTGCTGGTGTACACATGTGTCCCACTTCGTATTCAAAGACACTGCCACAGTTTTGTAACGTATAGAGATCACAGGGCCCGTTTGATGGCGGAATTGTGCACGAATGGAAACTCTATGATTCTTACTCTGACACCAAATTGTCATACGACAGAGCGAGTTACTTTGAATAGGTTAGTAAGCAAGTCGTACCACAGGTCAATGGACAGTGTGCGCAGCTCCCAAAAAGGTAATTTTTGAGTCTCACACTCTTCATACTTGCGCTAATGGTTCTAGTGTTTCCCTTAATCATTGTATCAGGTGAAACGTAAGCAAACTGATGACGGACGGAGGCATTTTATCAGGAAGTAGAGCAGCACTACTACGAAATGCGGCTTGCAATTCTTCTCAAGTGCGCTTCCAACTGGACAATGGCTTAATGCACGAATGAGCTGTGAGAATGTGCATTTGTCGAATGGTAACTGAAATGCGACTTGATGTTCAAAAATGCTCATCCGAGCGGAAATTGTGTAATGACAAGACGGGCCGCTACCGCGCACGTGGTCCCTAGATCAAATCTCAGGTCAAACCCAACGTGCATCATCCAAATTTCTACAGTTTGTAGTATGTTCCCGGGAGGGGTAGTTGCAACGCAGAACACATTGATAACTCATTCTTAAAAAAGTCGTAGTCGAAGGGTTAAACCAAACACAATTCGATCGAAGCATATGCCAGCGGCTATCTAAGATGGCCTTCACTTCGGCACTTTTAGCGCAGAACGCCCACCAACTATTTAATCGCTCGCCGCAGGTCTATACGCGGGGAGCGATTAGATAGCAGAGAGAGCGTTAGCATTGAAGGGGGCACAACGATGAGAGTCAATGGGCAACCCATTTATCGGGTTCCGGGCCGTTTTAAATCATTCCTTCTCGCTACCTTTTCATCGCAAATTCCGCCTTTAAAGGCAAGATTCAGGATTATACTTATGACTAGTTCCACTCATTTAATAAGTAGGGAAGGGAGATGAACCGCCAGTGGAGAAGAAAGGAAAAGAAAACCTTGAAATACACAGGAAGTACGAACCTTTTGTCCTATGTTGCGGAGAAGTTCAAACGGCCGCCAGAGAGATGAGAGATAATGTGAGCGCAGAGAGCGGTAGAGAAGTCCGAGAAGAGAGAGTATAGCAGATCAGCATTGCGCACCAGACAAGTTATCGGACGGCGGGCGGAGCATGACACTACTGGTGGAGTCTGCCAAAGTCCTTAGCGCCTAGTGTCTAAATAACGCTATTCGACGTAGGAAAGTAACGCAACCTCTGCACTTGCGTGCCTAGCGTTTCTAGCCACAGTTGAGGCTCAGTAAGTAGGCCTGAACGCGAAATTTGCCTTTAAGTGTGAGGACGTTGTGTATTTATTGTTCCCTCCACGCCCCCCGTAGGCGCTCAGGCTGTGAACGCATATACCATATAGATTAGAATAGAATACCAAAACCGTCAATGCGGAGCTAATATCACAAGACTTCTTCAAAACTTGGGAATCTACATTTTGACTATTAGGTTGTTGCATTATAAATGTCGCACCAGATTTAGCTTCATCCTACTCGGCTGCGTTCGAACATCTAAGCGACTTAAGCATTCATTCGAAAGAGGAAATCTAGTAGTATATAAGCGACTACTTGCTGCACATATCATTTTTTACAGGAATTTCTCTTTTAAACGATGACTGACCGGAATTTCCATGTGTGTACGTAAAGGTTCTACGAAATCATGAGGAAATGGATTCAGCTCACATAGACACGGCAGACCTTCGTAAGCAAAAACCGACCCACATCAAAGCGTGCATTGGCGCAACGAGAGGGAAAACAATGATTCCATGAAGTTACTTCATGAAGAAAGAGAAGAATTTTACGAAAAAATCACCAGCAAAAAGTGCGAGATCAGGCTGAAACGTTTCACTTCGCTGCTAAGCTGCTGTTTATCACACTCCATCTATGTATGTGCTGCACATCCGAGTCAACGCGGCATAATTGGTACGAGAAACAGTCCAGAAAGTACAAAGAAATCGGAGCCTGGATGTCCATATTTGCTTGCGAACAGTCCGCTACGATTCTTCGAAAAGGACGTCGAGTCTCTGCATGAGAAATGGCGAAGCCTGGCACGATAAGGTAGTATATCTCTATCCTTCTGAGATGCCGAATTGTTGCTGTTCCCACAAATTTTGTGGTAGGTCCAAAAGCGACATTTGTAATGCAACAACCTCATATATGCAAACAAGTAGTTCAATCACCTGAAGCTTTAAAGCTATCCCACTCTTTTCCCAGATAACTTTATCGCACTGTTGCTGGGAAAAGGCGAGTCATATTCATTTAGGTCAAAAGCACTTCGTAATGGCACAACTTACGGATGCGACGGCGTTTTCTTCCCGATTGGTATATGCGATGTCTTGAGACTCGTGTGCTTTTACTTATCGTAAGCTGATTTCACTTCTGCTTCTTTAATTTAATAATTCCCTTGGGCTAGTGGAGAGCTGGAAATTATTAGGTACCGGATATCTCAGTGTCGGTTCTTAGATTTTCCCCTGTGAGGGGCGGAAGTGGTGCATTGGCAAGTGAACTCCCTTATCATGCTCACGGTCCTAGTGTCGAATCCCAGACGGAATCTCGCCAAAGTCAACCAATCTTCCTACCAAAAATCATCTAATTGGTACTCTCACGTAAGGCTTAGAACACTGACTATCACACCATCTGGGCTCCGCAAGCCACTCGCATGCAAATCCCACAATGGCTCGGAATGGAAGGAGAATGCGTGCACACACCAAACAGAGAACGACCAATAACGGGAGGTTTATCCTTCTACTTTCATGGAGGATTAGACAATCTTCTACTACAACTCGGCTGTGTTCAAGTATCCTGCATATATGTGACTAAATGGCCGCCTAAGTGACAGAGATCAGGGCATAAAGGAGGACGAAAATCAGTGGAATCCTGAGCTCCCCTTGACGACATCGGTTGGCATCGAATATGAGTGTTACTCCAATTCCACTACCCATTCGAGTAGAGTTACTGCTGCCTCAGTCAGAGAGAGAATTTCTTTGAGTATCTAATAGCAAAATCCTTTGCCCCAAGAGAAATCACCCCTCACACCATGGCAAATATACGATTAGGAGGTAACATAAAGGCAGCGGTCGCAATAGCTAACGATAAGAAGGGCGACAACTTGGCCGTGGGTGTTAGAGCGTTGAGAAGCAGTCTAAACACTCTTTCCTGCTAGCCAGAAACTTCTTTGGATCGCATGACAACACTTTCCCACCATGATGTGTCCAACTCGTCCGCACCGCTCAGCCACCGCGACCGCTAAATTCAACATGAGGCGATTACTTGAAAGTGTAGTCGTTAACGCAACTGCATGCGCGCTTGGCCCCACTTGTAGCCGTGTTTTGTTCGTAACACAGCATAACTGTTATGGGCACGATTTTCTTCGACGCAGTTTCCGGCCACAGGAAATCACTAAATATCTCGTTTTTTTTAGTTTCCAAAACTATACCTACTAGAATATTCGTTATTATCCCATTTATTCGGGCTACACAATGGACATCTGTAACATATGTTAGTAGAATGCCGTCAGCCTAAGTTAATTTTGCTTCATTGAATTCTATGACGATTCAGGGAAGACGGACGATAGTTTAGTCAATAATTAGCTCCAGGACGCGTCCTCCACACCTCTTCTTCTGTTAAACAAGCCGTCAACATCCAGAGCTGCTGATTCTAACTTCGTTCCCTTCTGCATGGCATCATACAGTGTTACCTTCCTACGCACGACCAAAATATATTGTCTTTCTGCATATGTAAATCTGGTAGTGTATATATGCATTTCTTCCTTGAATAAATAATGCATAGAGTTCAGTAAATGAGTCGTTGTAAGCCAATTCTATAAGCCGGTCGTCCGCTCACCGCCCAAATGGTCCTATTCGCTCGGCAGGATGCTCCGCTCCTCTTCAAATATGTTTTTTTTTTATAGGAATGCTCCCGTTCAGCTTTCATCTTTGATTTCGTAGAGCTAGTTCACATTATAATTTAGCGGCGCAAGACGAGAGTAGAGTGTCAATTGTTGCGTAAGTGAAGAATGCGCCAGAAACTGTGGTCTCAACCCATAATCACAGGGATCGCGGAAAAATATGAGACAGAACGGCATACAACTCTATCTTTAGCACCAGGCAAAATGGGATATAAAATATAGTAGCGTATGTCTAACTAACATATCGTGTGAAACAATAAATTCTTTTCAAGAGATCATAATATTATTCAAAGGTCAAGATTAAATAAAATGATAAATAATATTACAACTCTTATCACATTTCACTTGCAATTTAACTTATAATATTTATAACCGCTGATGTTGATTGTCATCGTCAAGAAAACGCCTCGATGCCAGCAAATTTCTATATATAGTCATCTCATTCAAAACACCTCACCGTTTATCAAATAAAATTAACATCAGTAAAGATTAAAAGCTAATCTTTGGTGCTGAAGTCAAGAAATCTTTCATTTAACGAGACCCGACCCCACGGCTAGAAAACACGGACGCGCGCAGCTTGTCACGTTCAAACAAGTATCAGACAAGAGCGTTTAGTTCAGCATAATGTCAACGAATTTCCTAGCGCTTCCGAACGAGTAGGGCGTTCGTTCATAAAACAAACTGAGTGGCAATGGCTGCGTGATTGGGAAAATACGGTTGACAGAAGAGGCCACAATATCCGTTGGATTCGAAATAACTCTGAGCAATATGATGTATTGTAGCCGTTCTGGGTATCGACATAGTGATGATATCGTTATTGTAGTTTTATACTTTGCTATTCCTTTTCTCAATTTTGATCGCTAAGGAAACAAGCCATAAACTTTGAGAAACGCCAAAGTTTTTTCCCGACAGAAAGCCATTTAAGAGGCACAATCTCAGAAATCCATTACCATTATCATCACCACTTTAAACTCACTTATTTCGTGATCCAATTCGTGTTATTCCTTATTGCGCATTAATCCAAATTTGAAACTCCTACTGGGCCTCAGCGTACAATTACACACAAAATTTTTGGCAGAGAAAATCATTGCTACAACACAAAGTCGATTCTTAGACTCCTGCATCTGAGATCTAAATGGGATATCCAAAAACATGTTCTGGTGGACCATCCCCAATTTTGGCCACAGTTTGTACCTAACAGTGGCAGCTAGACTGCAATGCGCAGGCAACATCGCAAAGGCTTCAACATCTTGTGATGGCGCCCATTTGAACCTCAATTTCATTCCCCACTCTCTTGGGCAAGGTGGACAAGATGACGCGTCTCAACCACAACTCCTTCCCTTCGCCCTTCTTTTGAGCTCTCACACCAATTTCAATGTACACTTCGCGACACTGTATCACCATAAGCTGAGTCCAGCATCACCACAGAATTCGAGCTGACAATATTCACGTCAGGGTGTGTCAGTCGTCATCTAAAAATTTTTTTCCATCCTCGATTTGGAGCACTATGAATTCTTTATACTGTTCAGTGTTTCTCCTCCTGCGCACTATAAACTAATCCAGTGGTATACCGTAGCCGGGGTCTATCTCAAAGCAAAACAATTAGATGCTTTAACCTTTTACTCTCCAGCATTTCTCTAGATGTCGGACAGTGTTGAATGATTGACCTAATAACAACCATTCTCAAAAAGCAAAAAGCCTCGTATGTTGCCACAGACAAATTTAGAAATTGCCGAAATGGACTCTCTTTGAAACCGTTCGTTATGCAGTTCCGAAAGCATGTAAGAGAAGAGAAAAATGTTCTTACAACTGTCTACTTTGACGTCAGACTCATCGTTGGCGAAGGTTCGAAATACGTTTATGCCATCTGATGCCAGATGTTCGGACTGTTGTGAGAATGGAAGTTTAAGCACGCCACAGAATCAGAATTACAATGTAGCAGTTTGAGAGTATGTCTTCGCATCTCAACTAGTCAATTTTACAGAAACATCAGTCACTTTGACGTTGCCATCGAAAACACATCCAGAACAAGGAAACTTGATATCACGAATGTATCGTATTTATAAAATGTCAATTTATACCCTCTCAGTACATCCGGCTTGAGAGGGATCGAGTTTTTTCAACGACTAATTTCAAATATCAAGCTTTTCCCTTTATTGTAATTGGTGCTGAATATATCCAGAATCTCCTTGCAATTTTCGCCTTTTGAGAGCGGACTCGAAAATCACTTGCGTAGTCCTACAGAGCGGCCGCCTATAGGATTGATATTCTCTTTCTGCATGATCTAATCAAGGAGAGAAAATTGTTCAATCACAATAAACGATCAAGAATCTAACCACACAAAAGGAGATGGGACATTTTCACCAGCCAAATCAAGTGCGGCACGCGTCGGCTTTCCATGACTATGTTGTTGGCAAAATTCCATATCCAAGGTTCTGACATTCGGATCGTCGGAAGTGATACCATAAAACTACAATTACGACACAGTATTGGACAGCATAGAAGACATGAAAATTTTTAGAAAGGAAGCCGCCGCTCAGACTCGCAGCGCCCACAGGAAGAAATGCGGTTTGCAGTTTCCTACCTACAGTGGTGGCCACGCACATTGCTTTGTTCACCCATGAAAATATGGAACATAAAGCATTTGCAGTGTTAATAAAGCTTTATCACTTACTGTAAAAAAAGTCATTCGAGCTGGGACTGGTGGGGCAAGGGCGCCGCTACAGCGAGCGTAAGCCCTCTGTTCAAAATCGCCAGGTCACAATCCTAAGGGTATAATCAGCCAAACCACTATAGATGATTAGGTGTTCAAGGAGCACAGTTACTATATTGAAACACATTGCGTGCAATTAATCCTAAGAAAAAAACGTAGACTAAAGTCTTAAAGTTCGGAAGTGAAATGTGATGAACGATATTCCGGAAGCAGCGGATGGCATGAGGATTAAGAGTGCAGTAGACTCGTGTCTGCAGCCTCTAAAACAGCAAGTTGCAATCCCTGATCCGAGGTCTTACCAGGAATGCTTTGAGCTTCCAATGTAACGGATTGGAAGGTTGATCTTTGTAGAGCCCTTGGAACGCTGATTACAGATAAGAAACTAAAGCTCTGTGGAACTTTCTATGAAAGCTAGTGAGGCCTTCAAAATTCGCAAAAAACGTTCTGGAGAACTAAGCTTACCATCGGTGCAAGCAGCACTCCGGCTCTGCTTCCAAATTGACCTCCATATTTGTACGGTAGCCCTCCAGGATGCCCATCGCGCGGCAGAAGGCAAGTCGCGGACGATTTGCGGCGCGTGATGAGCGATGAAAGGGACGTGCAGGAGACATCCTATTCACTTACGCGATTTCCCCGATACGCGCGCGAAGTCGTCCGCTGACTCGGCCTTCTTGCCGCCGCGACGGCCTCCTGTTGGTACCCATTTCTGACCTGGGCACCAGTTTACCCTCATAGAACAAATATTAAAAGCAACCGTGTTTGCACATTGGTTGAGCTCATCATTAGCGTTCCTTGCAATTCTAAGACTCACAACTTTCTTACACAAGCTCACGCAGCAGTTTTTGGTGAACATATTATAATCGGCGCCCAAGACTCTCGATGCACCTAGTTTTTCTCAAAACTCCATAGGAATTCCAAAAACATTCCCTGGTTAACCATGCCCTGCAAAAATTGCAGAACGCGTCCAGTACCTGCGTCGGCCACGTTGACAGGCCGCGCTCATGAATACCCCAGTTCGCCCCAACCATGTCTAAAAGTTGTCAAGAATCGTGGTCCTCACAACCCACTTACTAGCACGATCTCCCTCTAGTTTCATGCCAACACCGGGCCGCGCGACGTACCAGACCGCGAGTGATGCCAGATATTTCACGAAGAACCCGCAAGAAGTTCGCTAATGAGGAACGCACTAATGCCGTGAAATCATCATGTCAGTTCGACTTGCTAATTCTTTGAAAACTGTTCCAGAGAGTGACAGATTGCGATGGATTGTGAAATAACCAAAGAGAAAGAGCAATTCGTTCCTATAGAAAAAATACTACACTTTGAGTACAAAATGCATGACAACCTGCACGCGTCTGTCAACCTCTGCAACCAGCAAAAGTCAACAGAAATTTTGGCATCCCACATTACGATTATTGCACACAGGCGTTGATCTGACCATAGATTTCGAAGCCACACTCATTGTTTTTACGAACACAGTGCCTCTCCACTGCGCATCGAAAAGCCTTGCACCCTGCTAATAGCAACTTTTTCAGCATTGTTTTGATGAAAAACGCAGGACGCATTTAGCAAAACGCAGTCATTCATAGTTATATCTTCGTTTCTACAGCCATGTAAGAAAATGAGAAATCTATCGAGCAAAAGTTATCGATGGAATACTATTAGCTATTCTACATACGTAAGTAGCAAATTACAAGTTCTACCTTAATTGGTGCACCACTTCTGTTAGTCGCAATCATTTTCCTGTATTTGGTGTTTTTTCCGACGTTTTTTTTAAAATTATGGTTCAAATATTCTCAATGATAATAGAAATAACGTTTTATTTATTGAGACGCGGAGAAAGAATACGTGGTGTAAGTTGCAAAATGTTGATTAGCGCCAGCGCCTGTGGCGCGGGAGCCAAGAGTTGCGCCTGGCCGTGCGATATTCGTGTTCTACGGATCGAAACACCTCCAGAAACAACTTTCCAGCCACATCCTTAGCCATGGACGAATTTCGAACAAAACGTGTATCAGTTCTTGAGGATGGGGCAGTTAAGGGTAAATAGTGCCCAAAATTGTTCTAGCTGTATACCTGGGGAAAATGAGACACCCTAGCCCCTTTGAACATTGAAATTTGCACTTGATTCGCAGGGCTCAGTGAGAAAATTGGGTCCTGTCCATTAATCACTGGAGTTGATCGAAAATGCTTCTCTTGATTCTACCGCATAGAAATGTACCCCTATCTGCAGCAGAAGCTGACGATGTATGAATTCATTACATGTCTCCCGATAGCACAAATGAGACATTTCTAACTTTTTGAAGTCTCTCGTAATATATACCATGCTCCTCTGCCTGCAAGAGCAATGTGAAGTTTGAACAGAAACAAAACAATCGCTTATGTTAGCAAATGCGTTTGAACAGCTTCTCATATGAAGCGTCTGACAACAAGTCCCATCTTGCTGTATGGTTATGTTCAGCTAAAGTGCATCATCATCAGCAATATAAATAGGGCGGAGGTTAGCGATTTCTTCACACTCAAAATGGTCATCCTCGCACTGCTTGTTCTCTTATTAGCTAGTGTCGACGCTTTCAGATTCAAAAGTGAGTTGTTAAAGTATAGTCATGGTTAGGCCATCACCACTTAACGACGCATAGGACACATCAGATACTACGAGAAGGTGAGTCTTCAGTCTCTCGTGCAGAAGAGGAACACCATAATCACAAGGATGCCGAAGTTTTACGACAAGAGAGCTTGGATATTGTTTCTGTATCCGCTTCTCACCCTTTTCCTTCCCCCCTCCCCAACATGAATCTCGGAGAGTTTCTATGTAGTTATCTGGTACTCAAAGCCACAAGCCAGGCAGAAGTCTTGTGATCGATTCCTTTCAGTCGGTAGGATGGACGCCTGGAGGGCAATCGTAGACGTGACTCTCTTATGCATGGAAGTTGCCCCACACAGTCTTATTTTGAGGCTAACAAAATAACCCTATTCATCACTAAATCATCAGAATTCAGGAGAAATGCTGGGTGTTTACTGGGCTATCTGTGATAAATATATTTGGAGAGCCTTGCGGAACCTTAGGTCGTGTGATGCGCAGGATCAGGGTAAAGCGTGCGTTGAGGAATCCTCGATAGGTCGTCAGTATTGAGGGGGGGGGGTCGTATCGGCTCGCTGAAGCCGGGAGATCGCAACGAATCAATGCAGTAGGATCATCACTGTCCGGAGACAAATATCAAGGATCGGATCGATGCAATGTAAGGCCAATGTATTTCAAACAATGTTATTCCGCCCGCATAAAATTTTCGTGATTTGAAGGGGTCCGCGTAGTAATGCGTAAACACCTCAGTGTTTTTTTACGACAAGGTTTGAAGAATCCGAAATTCGCACATTTTCCAACGGATATTTTATCTTTCAGATGAGTCCACCAATATGAAGGGATGTGAAGCACAGGCTGCGTCCCAAATTGGGCCCATTCATTGCGCGCGCTACCACTACTGCTATTGAGAAAAGAGGCAAAATCAAGGGGATTCTGGAAATGTCCGTGTGAAATTACAGGCAGGAGTCCACTGTTCAACAAGAAATGCAGCCGTCAGCGTCAAATTCATGAACACATAAGCGTTAAATACGTGCACTTGATAGAAGTTTCGTGGGTAAATTCTTGCCAGCATGCTTTGCTGGTATCCAGTAATGTATGTTGGAAGCAGCTTATCCACAAAACTTCTATCAAGTGTATGTCACTTCCGGTGACACGCCTACCCCAGCTCTCTCAAATAACCTACTTCTCCGAAGGCAACCTTGAAGAAGCTTCAGACTTTTCAAAGTTCTTTTAAAATGACATGCCTCTCTGGTTAAGTACGAGTGAAATTTGAGTAAGAATACGAATCAATCAGTGATGTTAGCAAACACGCCCCAAAGAAGCTATTCATGCGATGCCTTTGACAATGAGTCGCATCTGGCTGCACGATAATGGTTAGCTAGAACGAGTGGTAATCATCTATAGACAGAATTTGGTGAGAACAGCAAAATAACGCATTTGTTGTTTCCATGATGTGGTTCGCCCTCGCACTACCCTTTCCTACTAGCTAGTGTCGGCGCTCAAATAAGTGAGCTTTTGGCGAATGCATGTTGCTAGGTCGTCATCACTTTACTACTATTTGACAGGGATGCTTCAAACTAACAGAGGAGCACATTTTTTAGGCATCGTGATGAATATCACAAAAAAAGTGTTCGAGGATGTGAATAAGAAGTGGAATCCATACATGGTTGGTTTTTCACTGGGTTTGTTTTGAGTAGAGCAGTCCTTCTCAGAACGACTTCACAAAATTGTACAATGTATTAACTTTGATCACAGATATGGGATCCGACATATTCAAGATGGGCAATGAATGACGCATTGAAGAAGGGAAAAGGGCTTGTAGCTTTTAGTGAGACAGGCTGGACGAGGATAGGAAAGAACAGGTGTTTACAAACATTGTTGTAGAAATTTTAACTGCGCTTACTGTGGATTTATTTGTATGTTCAGGCTATTTCGTAAGAACGATACCAGATCCCTTGAAGAAAAGGTGAATTCCACGTTGCAGGAGTGTTTCGAGAAAGAAGGCGAAAAAGTGAGTTGAAGTTGCTCCGACCGCCATAACAGCGTACGCCAAGCAGGGGCTATGATATCGTATTATCCGTGAAGAGTACGAGAACGTTTCCGATCAAGCGACATTCTAGAGGTCGCCCCAGAAGTATTGCACCACGTTTCTCGTAGCATCTCTCGAGATAAATATCTCCTTGAGTGGTTACACGCAGCTTCGGCTTGACATTTCCATATTTGGAGGAATGACATTCATTCGTTGTGCTCCCCTGTAGGTGTGAGTATGGCTCCCACTTGCTTCCAACATAACTCCTCAATCGCCTCCATGACATCCCGTGGTGTACTTTTCTGGAATTCGCAGAGAAAAAGCTTTAGTGCCTCCACGTCGAAGCATTGGGTTCAAACAGGCTCTGTCCTCCTGTACAGCCCACATAGTATGATCAAGCACGTTGAGACCAAGAGATAGGAAAGAGGATGTGAAACCAGGAAGGGTAGTTATGCCAGTCGTGAACAATTTATATGAAGTCATCAGCTCGTGGTTGAGCTAAAGGAGACCGGCCGTAATCGCAGAAGCCTTGAAGGCAGAATTTATGACGCAAAAACAACTCGACTCCAACCAAGTTAAGGACCGCGAGTTCTTCAAGAAAGAAGGAAAAACCATAAGAAACGGCCCAGAACCCGAGAAATAGGACCCATTCTCTCTCGTTGATTTCCGCATTCATGGGCCTTGCATTGTTATGCCCTTATCAGCGCTAACGCTCTCCCTGCTATGTAATCACTCGACGCGTATAGACGCGCGGCGAGTGATTAGATAGACGAAGGGCGTACCGGGACATTTGTGCCAAGAGTGGGCCGAGGTCTAGCCTTCCGCTACCAATCGCGTGTCTGTCCGCACCCTCAAGAGGTCCGCCTGTCTTTCCACTGGGCGGTTTTTCCCTTCTTCAACCTTCGTTCTTATCGTGGAATTCTCCCTTGAGCTACTAGTTCTTATCGTGAAATCGGCCTTTGAGCTGCCACATAATTTCTTGGCTATACTTAGTGTTGGATAGTCTTAGACAAAGTAACTCCGATCATGCCGATCTTCTACCACCAACCTCTCAGAAACGTCGTAATGGTCTACGATCGAGAGCACCTCTTGAGCTCGCCATTTTCCCGTTTCGTAGTCTCCTGATGCCGTCCACGTAAAAGGCTATTATAAAGTGCCGCTCCTGAAATGAAATGTGCTTTACATATTCTAAGCATTTGGTTTCAGTCCAGCAACGTGAGACTTCTCTCTCTTAAAGGAGGACTCCACGATAAGAACGATGGTCAAAGAGGGAGTAATTCACATAGTTGAGAGACAGGATTCCCCAAGGTGTGAGCCAACATACACTTCGATTGAAGCATATGCCCGCGGCCATCTAAGATGGCCTTCACTTCAGCGCATTTGGCGCAGAACGCCAACCGACTATCTAATCGCTCGCCGCAGGTGCTTAAGCGGGGAGCAATTAGATAGCAGAGTGAGAGTTAGCGTTGAAGAGGGCACAACGATGAGAGTCATGCGAGAGTCAACGGGCAAGGAATGCGTCCCATTTATCGGGTTCCGGGCCGTTTCACATCGTTCCTTTTCCATCACTACTCCATTAGCCACCTCGACCCTTCTTTCCAGTTACTTCCAATGAGCTACCTTTTCAACGCAAATTCTGCCTTCAAGTGTGAGGACATTGTGTATTTATTGGACCGCCTCCCCCCCCCCCTCCCTTAGCCGTTCAGGCTGTGAACGCATATACCATATAGAATAGAATAGAAAAACAAAACTGTCAATGCAGAGCTAATATCAGAAGACTTCTTCCCAAACTTGAAAATCTACATTCAAACTATTAGGTTGTTGCATTATAAATGTCGCACCAGATTTAGCTTACCCTACTCGGCTGTTTTCGAACATCCAAAGGGACTAAGCATTCACTCGAAAGAGGAAATCTAGTAGTATATAAGCGACTACTTGCTGAACATATCATTTTTTTACAGGAACTTCTCTGAGAAAAGGCAAGTTATATTCATTTAGGTCAAAGGATTTCCTAATGGTACAACTTACGGATGCGACGGCATTTTCTTCCCGCTTGATTGGTGCGATTACATGAAGCTCGTGTGCTTTTACTTAACGTGAGCTGATTTTACTTCCTCTTCTTTACTTAAACAATTCCCTTGGGCTAGTGGAGAGCTGGGAATTATTATAATATATAATAATATAATATAATATAATATAAACTATCGAAGGATCGTAAATCACTCAGTATCCTGCCTACTATAAAGCGGTTCGTCTATGTGTCTGTCGGTCTGTCAGTCATCTGTCTGTACGCCTGCCACGAAATTCAGTAATGCGGACCGACACGCAATTCGTAGCGAAAAATTGGCTGCGGACATCTAGCATAGCTCATTCCGCGGCGCCATCGGTGCGTTACGCCTGACGACTGGTTAGCCACTCGTCGCATCTCTGTCCGTTGAGTAGAGAGTTGAGGAGAGCAGCACCGATAAAAGTCGCATTTTGAGGAGATGCAATTGTTCTGCAAGGAAGCGGTCCCAATTCTTTATTTCTCGGGTTATCGGTCGTTTCCACCTGTTGTTATTCATCTCGGTACCACTGACCACCCCGACCTTAATATAGTGATATGCCTTCTGATCGTAAATTCCACCTTAAAGCCAACCAAACCCATTTCCCATCCCAGGTTATTTAGTTGGTACTCGTATAAAGAGGATGAAAACACTGAGTCGCACATCATTGTGTAGGTAAAATCGCATTCAAAATACAAGTATGAACTCCGTTGCCGAACCCAGTCGAAGTTTCTCTGGTAAAGGCGATGCAATGACGGCCCATGCCAGAACGTCGGTGTCCCGTTCAAGTTACAACTGGCCCATGGCATCAGTTTCAGTCACTTGGTGAGAAAAATTTTTCAGAAATAATCCGACCAAGTTCGGGAATGGGTACCAGGCGGTTTGTGAGTACAATTCATATTCTTTCTGAACAGAGACTTTGTGAGCGTGAACGCTTCAAGCTTTGCGTGAGCCGAGACAAACCACAAATAAAGTCGACCACGAATCCGATACGGAACAAAGGTGAATTTGCGGGCTCATTGAGCACGTCAAATTCCCCAGTTTTGCTTGAATACGCTCTTAGATGAGTTCTATAATAAGCAGCAGCAGCGATTGCACAAGAACAGCAGAAGAGAGAACACAGATCATCCTGTGGCAAAGCGTTTTCATGCTGCTACCGTCGATGAGTAGTATAGAGTATCCGTCTAGTATATGAGCTATTATTGCGATCTTATCCCCACTACATATAATGCGCTAAGTCTGTCTGTCTGTCTGTCACGTAATCCGTATTAAGCGAGCAACAACCTACTGGGTCCAGGTCAAGTTTGGGATGGGTGCACCATATCTCGAGAAGTAAAAAACATACATTACCTAAGCTGAGCCCCGCCCACAGTGAGCGTGGCGTGCATCGAAATGAGTTGCACTGAGGGCCATGATTTCAAATTTAGTCACAAAACAGCCTCGAGACCGGGGACAAAAGTGGGTATAGGTGTGCGTTGGTAAGGCAGATTGAATTGCGGAGACCCACCCGCGGTGGGCGGGGCCTTCTCTAAAAAAGCGGTGCTCAGTGAAAATATTCATAACTCGGTTAGGAGGAAGCCTACAGACCAGAAACGAAACCAGTGCAGGGATTTCACATTCCAGCACGCATGAAGTGAACGGACGCCTGCCCACAATGGGCGGAGTGTGTCATGAAGCAGACAGCGTAGCGTTTTCTACAAGAGCTCATAAATCGGCTCCGAGATGACTAGAGACCGGAAAACAGCGGACAGAGGTCAGGAGGGGAGGGGGAGCTAAATTTCAGAGATGGGCATGGCTTACGTCAAAATGGGCGGAGTTTGCAATTAGGCTTATAACTCGGTTTCTAGGAGTCCCGGAGTCCGGGAAAAAAGCGTATAAAGGTTGGCAGAGGGAAGGGTGTCAACTGTTGTCGGCGGGTGGAGCATGCGTCAAAGTGGGCGGAGTTTGCTACGAAACTTCATAACTCGGTTCCAAGAAGTTCCGGACTTGGGAAAAATGTAGATAGAGTTCGGGGAAGAGATGGAAGTGAACTGATATCGTTGGGCGAGGCGATGATGCATGCAGGTGCATCAAAGTGGGCGGGGTTTGCCACAAAAATACATAGTTCGATTTCGCTTCCTACAAGTCCTCATAATTCGGCTCTAAGATGACTTAGAGACCGAAGAAAATGTGTATAGAGGTCAGATGAGGAGGGAAGGTAATAAGTAAACGCTGTGCATGGCACACCCGGGCGGAGTTTGCCACCACTCTTATAACTCGATTCCTAGAAGTCGGCAACCGGGAAAATTTTGGATAAGGGTTGCCGGAGAATGGGGTTAAATGCTTTTTGTGGGCTAAGCATGCACCAAAGTGGGCGGGGTTTGCCACTGAAATTAATGACTCATTGCGCCTCCTACAGGATCTCATAATTCGGCTCCTGTATGACTTGAAGACCGGAAAAAAACGTGTATAGAGGTGAGCGGAGGAGGAGAAGCCGAGTGTAATTGCTGGGTGAGGCACTTTTCTGCTGCATTGGCACTATTTCAACGACTGTAGCTGCTTTCAGGGGCGATTTCGCGCAAAAATTGGAGCAGACCCAAAATCCACGAGCTTTTTTCTTTCCAACAAGTAAGAAATTGTTTGGGGAATCTTAATTGTAACACTCATATCTTTGACGCTGAAGGCTGCATTTGTTGTTGAATTGTGGACTCCTCCCTGTAATACCACACGGACCCTTCCAGGATCCTCTTTTTTCCTGAACTGGAATTTTTTTCCAGAATCTCACTTCAGGAAAAAAGAGGATTTGCAAGGGTCCGTGTGGTATTAAAAAATTTTTTTAGCGAGTCGTAGCTGAAGCACTATCCGCAACTAGCTGAGCCCCCTAATTGGATTCTAATGAAAGCGTCTCGGTACTTCTCATCATATCACGCGATAAACGAAGGAATGGAACTATCAGGGAGTGACGAATCGTACACATGAAAGAAATTACTCGAGTCATACGCGCGCGTTTGGAGGATTAAATACTTGACCGTACGTCGTCCAGGACAGTCAAGCCCTCCATTTGTCAGGAGCCATTAATAGAATCAGAAGAATGGAAGCTCGGTTGGCCTACGTAGACGAGGAAGAACCCTGTGCTATGGGATGACCGAAACGAAGAAACGGTAACAAAAATAGCACTAAAGCACAGATGAATACAAAAATCGCAGCCATGTGTTTGATGTTTTGGCGAGCTGTGAAAAACTCCAACTGTTAGTCTAACTGCAGAGATTAAAATGACGATGAGAGAAGTTTAAGGAGGAAACAAATTTGTATGAATCTGAATCGGGTGGATAAAGGCTAGAAGGGAGGGGCAAAACCTCGCAAAGAGGTCCCGAGGTTGATGCGTTTTGCCGGAAAATCAGTACAACTGCATTTTGGCCACATATATTAGGTCTCGGCATGATTCTTGCACAGATCAAAATAGGAATTTGCACCCGAGAACACTTTATAAACTATCTTGCACAGAGTTTTCTTTTAAGTAGAAGGGGCGGAGCGAGCATACAGGGGTGGCCAAAAAAAAGAGACACTTTGCCCATGGTGCACATCATCGAACTTTTCGTCGCACAGGATGCCGATGATAATGAAATGTTTCATGGCGGGATATTCCTTAGGTGTTCCCCCGTAAGCAGAAGCAGGGTCCCCTTCACTGCCTCCATTGTCTTCAGAATATGACGTCATCTGCCGTCGCCGTCGAGCTCAACGAGGCTCACCTTAGTCGCTCCGGCCTGAAGCTGCAACGTAATTTCTTCAATCAATAACTGCTAAACAGCTTCCCAGAGACATTAGCTGAGACTATGCAAAATCGCTTTTGACCAGCGTCTCGAAGTCGTCGTAATGGCCAATGGTACCTCGACGCCCCCCGTTGAGCTTGTACCGTGAATCATGTTTGCGTGGGAACATCTTCTGATGTTGTCGGTGTAGAAGGCTGTCATGTAAGCTTTTAATAGATTAGAGTGTGCTCTTTAATCTGAAAGGTGGAGTGAAGTGTCTTTTTTTTTGGCCACCCCTGTAGATAAGCTGCAAAATCAAGATCAGCCTATGGCAAGCTACGGGGCTAGAGTTTAGTGGTTACGTATTTTTCTAGCGCATAGGGATGGCTTCTCTGCCCGACCAGCAGCACTTCATGTTCCTTTAAAATCCGCCTACTGGCAGAAACGTTTGCTAGATACCGAAACAATGAAAATGGACCATCAATGTGGAGAAACGCGCGTTCATCTTAATTTAGAGCAATGAGGTCGGTACTCTAGACTTAGTCGCATATGGCGTGTGTAGAAACGAGTAATGCACCCGGGCCCATCGGTAAACGTGATTGTTCTGATGGTCCAATTGACATGGTGTGGGGAGGCATGAAGCTGCTGGGGGCGTAAGTTACCCTCGCCTTAAAGGAATCTTCCACGGGAAAAGCTCCGCCCCCATTACCACAGAAAACGATACCTCAAAGGAATGTTCTTAAAGGAAAGAGGGATCAATTTGTATTGTGTGTAGGATTAGTATTATCGAAACTAAGGCTCATGTTCCGTTCTTTTTGCTGCTCATGAGGTTAGGAGCCGGTATCGTTATCGGGGTATCGTTTTTCTGTGGTAATGGAGGCGGAGCTTTTTCCGCGGAAGATTCCTTTAAGATTTGCATACTAATGTATATTTTTGTAACATATTGAATACAAAGTTACTGAAATATACAGGGATAGCCAAAAAAGAGACACTCAGCCCATGGCGCACATCACCAAACATTACCGCAATCGTTCCAGCCTGGCCAAATTCTTCAAACGGTTCATGGACAGGTTGCTTGATAAGACACTAGCTTTAACTATTCAAGACCTCTTTCAGCCAGCTTTTCAGATAGCGCCATAATGGTCCACGATCCGACGAGGACGAGTTGAGCTCGAACAGCGCACAAGCTTGCTATGGCAAATTCTTGTGTGTCTTTGGTGCAGAAAGCTACTTTAGCATTAAGTTGGGAGCAGTCGGTTTGAGTTCAGCAGAGTGTGATCGATGCTGTCTGGAATGTGGAGTGAAGTGTATTTCTTCCCCTCCCTGT